TTAACGCAAACCATGTACCTTTTATATTCATATGCCTACAACTCTGAAATAACAATTCAAATCATATATTAATTAGTAGCATTGTTATTGTCTGTAGAAAACATAAAGCAGAGAAAATCGGTGGGAGACTTCACTGAAATCTGGAAAGGTGTGAAAAGAGAAGTTTCAGACAAGTTCATTCATGGCAGCTCTTTCTTTGAAAGTGATTCAGTGAAGAAAATGCCATGAGCATAAATATGATTAAATTTTCACTTCATGTGTCAGTCAGGCAAGTGACAATTTTGGTAATTTCTTCTATTTTCCTTACAATGTCTCCATAGCTGTTCAACAATTTCTGACAAAAATTGCTCTTTTCTGTGCAAACTTGTGAGACTGAGAAGGGAAAAGAAGGGTAGTAGGATTCTGCAATATCCTTCTCCTTTACTCTCCTTTTTCTTCTTACTGTAAATTTCAAGTTTTAAAAAAATCTGTTTACAATGCTTATTTAACTCTGCAAACTGAAACTGATGTTCATTCTTTATTTGTATTTTAAACTAAAATTAAGATTACCTTTTTAGGCAGCTGCCACTCCCAGCCTCTGGTGGTGCAACTTTAGATTAGCCCCCCTCAGCCTCTTGTTGAGTAAGAAACTGTTAAGAAGCCTGTGCCTTGTCTAATAGCCTGTTCTTCTAAGATGCTCTACATAGCATGGAAAAACCCAGATCTTTCAGAACAGCTCCTCACTTTGAACTCATACATCATTGCTTAGAAAAGTCTAGAGAAAGATCTTGACACTGTTTCAAGGCAAAACATGGTGCTGACATTATCAGTGAAGGATGAAGAAACAGTATCTTTACTAACAACCTGACAAAAACATTCCAAAAGAAACAGAAATTCCTTTTCCTAGTCTGTTGTATGTAGCCCTGACTCATTATGGATGTGTTCTTTGAAAATATATTATGTAGATTACCTATGTCCCAAAAATCAAGTGAAAACAGTGGATAATAAACTTGTGGCATGAATTATTATGTAGATTTTTACAATCAATGCTCAGAATCATTATGCAGTAGAAATTCTTTCCCAGTCACATTCTGAATGTTTAGATGTGTTTCTAAATACAAAAACTTTTACTAATCTCTCAGGAAGCCATACGCTTCAGGCACCTTCCGAATGCTGGCACACAAACAAAACAGTATGGCTGTGGTTTTCTTTTTTCCCCACTTTCATGATGTTAAAAAAATAGTAAATAATTGAAATTCATGCATATTTTGATCTAGATACATCTTGAAAATCTTTAGTGCATCATACGGAATCAAAACTGTATTACCAGACACACAAAGAAAATAGTTTATCTTGATGTGCTGAGGGATGACCATTCAGAATCATAGTCTCAACTTATATAATATATGCACATTCATCAAAACTTAAGAAAATATACCTACATTTATGCAAAATTTGCTAAAGCAGTTTTTTTCTTATCCTTGGGGACAGTTTAGGATTGAAGAAAGATTTAAGTAACTTTTCAAGGAGCAAGGTGGCAGCAGGTTAAAAATGCAGTGGGAAGGGGTAAGGCATTTGTTCTGAAGCATGTAGCTTCTGAGGCATCCTGCAAAAATGGGTTTCCTCCTGAGCCTGTTGCATTTTGCAAAATGGGATGTGTCACTGACATGTAGTGATGATCACTGCAATCAAGCCCTTAATCCTACTACTTAATCCATAGTTAAGCACCAGATACCTCACACGGATCAGTCTCCACAAGGCCCTACATTCACCATGGGATCACTGATGAATGAGCACTGATGTTTGCTGTGTGAGCAGCTCAGTGAAGGCTGCCAGGGAAGCGTGGCCAAACTGGTACTGAGAAGACAGAGTGACAATGTGGCAGACATACAGCATGAGGACAAATATGCAAAGACACAGGCTACTTGTGTGCGCTCAGTTGCGCAGAGCAGTTGCTACTTCAATTTCCATGGGCACCCAGCCACTCTCACCCTCACGTAAAAAAATTATTTTGGCATTTGTTTTCTTGTGGCTACACCTTTGATCAATACCGCTTTAAACCAGGTTTATTCTGTGGGTCTCCTTATTGCTACATACACAGAGTATTTCTGTACTCTCTAATACACAGGAAACACAGCTCTGGGCACTCTTCTTAGTGAATATACATAATCTAACCGTTCCAGGAAAGAGATTAGCACTAACACCTGACATCTATTGTTACTGATTTACTACAAATCATCCTAGTAGTTCTGTCTAGTAACAATGTCACAACTCAATTTATATCTAGTCCAAGTGCTATTTGGACATTGTGATGCCGTGACACAGTGCATTACTTGCTTCTGTTACTCATCCAATGCCGTCACCACGCAGTTGAGCCCACACATTCTCTTCCCTGCAGGTCTTTCTGTCTTTTTGCCCCTCATTGACAACAGGTTATAGGTGTTTTTCAGAGCTTGTCGGTGTTGCTCAGAGGCAACAGGCACAAGGAAGATACTATATAACCCATCGTGAATGCTCTTTTAAGATACAGCTCACAAAGACCTAAGCAGTAACTGCAAAAGATGCTCCTTCCACATTTTAATTTTTTAGAGTTACCCTGACACAGCTGTGTGTCTCACTTGGGATCCATTAGGAGCCAGATTAAATAGAAGTGGATATACATCAGACATATAAAATAAAAGCATGGATCTGGCCATACAATATTATTTTTTTTTAAAGGAAAAATAACTCATAGACAAAATTATGCATTCTGAAAATTGGTTTCTTTTCTTGTCTTTTTTTGTCTCTGGTTTCTCAAGAGTATGATTGAGAAACAGGGAAGTGAATGTCAGAATTTGCAAGAAGAGAATTATGCCTCTGTGGATTGAAACAAAATCTGTATCACCCATGGGGAAGAGGAAGAAGAGAGAAAGTATATATACTCTGGCAGTAACAAAACACTATTCTGAACACATTACCCAAGAGAGCCATGTACTTACTGTTTTAGCCCAGCTAATTTACCTATTGTGTGCTTCCCCAGACAGTTATTGCACTGGCTTCTAGCCACATGCCTTTGATAAAGTGCACTTGGAATGAAATAATTTTGCTTCCAATATAATCTCTTCTACTCCAGAAGCTGTCCTACAGCAAATTAGCATGGATTTTCTGACATAACCACAGAAGGTGCAAACTATAATCATAGCATCATAGAAGAAAGTTATACAACAGGTATTACAAAATCGGCAGGAGATGCAAGGTAAAGGCATATTTTACAAGTACTTTTCACATCACCACCGTGGCTGCAACTCTTATGGGACTGCACCTGATGTGGTGCATTCAGCTCTGGCGACCCCAAAATAAGACCTGGATCTCTTGGAGCAAGTCGAGAGGAGGTCCACAGTAAAGATCCGAGGGTTTGAGCACCTCTCCTCCTCATGAGGACAGGTGAGCGAGTTAGGTTTGTACAGACTGGAGGAGACTGTGGAGACCTTATAGCACCTCTAAGTCAGTACCTAATGGAACCTAAAGGAAGGCTGGAAAGGAACATTTTAAAAGGGCATGTAGTGACAGAACAAATGGTGACGGCTTTAAGCTAAAGAAGATGTGTTTGGATTAGCTGTTAGAAGAAATTCCTTACTGTGAGGGTAGTGAGCTGCTCTAACAGGTTGCCCAGTGTCGTTGTGGATGCCCAATCCCTGGAAGTGTTCAAGGCCAGACTGAATGGGTCTTTGAGCAACCTGGTTGGGGGGATGGTGGAACTAGATGATCTTCCCACCAAAATCATTCTAATTCTATTAACAGACCTGTTCACCCACCCAAAGGGATTAACTAAATTACCAATGGATTGTTCAGAGTACAGGATTATTCATGTACAGCTAATCCCTTCAAATTTAAATTATCTGAGTATTACTCTGCTATGGATGTACTGAGATGAAAGATGTGTCTCCTAGTAACTATCATCTTCATCATAAAGTCTGTGGCTACCAACAGTATGAATTTTTTTTCACCAAAAATTAATTTCCTCTGTCCAGCTCTTACTACTTGTGTGATTAGACCGCCAAAACAGATGCAAGTTGCTGTTTTGTCGATAAACAAACAGCTTTTATCTGCAGGATTTCCTTCTTCTAATAAGTACTTTTCCCAGAATATGAAGGCCATATAATTTTAAGAAAAATTACCTAAAACCCCCTTTGGAATTGTTAATATTTCTCCAAAGAGTGACTGTTCTGGAAAAACTTATTAATTTCATATACCATTCTTTTTCTCTTTAAAGCAACAAGCAAATTCACAGGATTTGAATTGTTGCAGCAAGCGTTGTGCTGTCAATCTATGAAATTTGTAGCAGGGCTAAGGCTTACCAGTCCCATTTTTACACTGAGGTTAAGTACAGATAATTGTGTAACATAATTTCTGCTGCTTGGGCAACTTATTGCTGTCTCTATCCTGGTGCAACTTGGAACATTTGGAAAAACTCACAGCTTTAAAGTTAAGCTTAAAAAGAATAAAGCTTTTCATTTTTGAGATTGTGACAATACTTGCAATTTTTTATTTAAGCAAATTTTGGAAATCGGAGCTGTAGTACAAACTTGAATAATTAATGCAAGCTTTATATTTTAATTCTAGTGGCTTTTAATTGTAGTTTGTACATTTCACCTTTTGGATCAGTGGCATCTTGTATTTTGGGTAACTTTAATTCATGAAATTTCTAGGTTTTTCATTACATAGTGACAGAGGGGATCAAGATAAATTCTTTCAGGCCTATATTCCTCTTTCTAACATGAAATGCAAAAGAGTTATTTTATTTCACATCCTATTGTTTTATTTAGGATTTCCTTAGCTGCAAGTCAAATTTTGAAAAGCTAACAAATTATAAAAATGGGTTCACCCTTTCCCTTCCTCCCTCTCTGGGAACTCCCAAAGTGTTTTTTTTGATGTATCAGTTCAGGATAGCCATTTATGTTATGAAGGGCTTAGGAAAGACTTCCAGGCTATTTTTTTCCCCAGTTGTTGTCTGTTTGGCTTTAAAGAGAAAGAAAACCTTATTTAGGAAAAAAATACTTTATTTTTTTCAAATAATGTCTGACAGATTACAAGAACAAAGTACAGTAAAAAAATTTCTCACATGGCCTGCAAAAGTTAACAAAACAGTAAGCAAATACAGAACCTCTGTCCAAGTCCTTCTTGGGTCCAATATATATTATTCATACTACAGAGGTAATGCCCACTTTACAGTGGCATCAGATTAAGTTTGTGAAACCATTTTAACACAGTCACTAGTATCTGCTCTCTTTATATACCAGCTTTTGACACAGTTTTATTTTCCTCCAGACACATGAAGGATAGTCTAAAGTCAAGTACAAATTTCTTCCCTTGTGTCAGGAGTTCAGCATTAACTTCAACAGGTTTGGTTGAATCCACCAGTAGCCTTTTATGGGTAAACATATACAACCTGGTAGAAACTTTTTTGCATCTGTCAATCCATCCCATACAGCATTATTGGCACTTTAAAAAGGGAGCAGATGCACCAAATATGATGGTGGAACTGAATATATTTTTCTTTCTCAAAGCCTACAGCTATTTTGCTACTTCTAACAACTAATTGTGAGCCACGAGTACAGCATGCCAAACAAACCTAAAAGGAATATAAGTGATAATTCAAAAGCTGCCATGGAGGTTTCTCCTGCCATGCCCATGTTTGCAAAAGAGACTAAAATAAGTCAGTACAGGCTGTGATCTCTTCTACAGTATTCTAACATTAGGAAAAATAAAAGACAGATATTTTATTCTTCCTTTGAAACTGCAACCCTGAGATGAGCTCAGCTGGTTAAAGCATGGTACTAATAATGCCATGGGTCATGAGTTTTACCCCTGTATAGGCCATTCACTTAAGAGTTACACTCAGTGATCCTTCTGGGTCCTTTCCAACTCAGACTATTTGGTGCTTCTGTGAATTTAGCAAATGTAAACAGGAGTGGATCCTCTGACAAATTCTACACACACACAATGAATAAACAAAGAATTGCTGTCATACCTTTAATTTTCATGCCAATATTATCTCTGCAATTACCTCAATAATCTAATATTTCCATTGTGATAATTTGTTTTGCAATGCAAAGCTTGTTTTTGTTTTCCCTGTCTACCTAGACCTTTCAGAAAAAGCTATGAGTGAAATCAGTAAATACATAAAACCAGAGCACTCACCTCATTAAGGCTTGAGAGCACAGTGACATGAAGCACTTGCGTCCCATTCAGTGGAATACAGTGCAAAGTGTCCCAGGTCAGCTGAGACTCCAGAGAACCACTCCAAGTAGCACAGAATACTGGCATTGCATTTATAAATAGCACAGATCTAAATAGTCTGAAGTCGTCTTTATTGTTTATATGCAGTGGGCTTGGGTAACCCTGCATTGGAATCATCACAGGTCTCCCTATGCCAGAGTGTACAGAGATAGGTGGGGTTTATCAGATCTTTGCAGCATTTTCTGTCTTTCACAGATGTGAAATCTAAAAAACTGTAGATGTTTTTTATCTTATAGTTTTACTGAGGTTGCAAAATCCAATGCCAACACATGTCATTAAGACCTTCTCCCCGCCCGTGTGCTCTTCCTCAGCAGTCTTTGTTTCAATTTTAAACATGATCTGGAAGAAGCTTCTGAGGTGTCGCAGAAACTCAATTCTGAATGAGAGAAAATAATACCATTTAAGAAACAAAACAGAAAGTCTAATAGCATTATGTACTAACACAGATTCCAGCAACGAGCATGGTGAGTGAAACAAGAAAATATTGCTTAGTACAGAGAAACAGGACTACAAGCTTCAAACACTGTTCTCACTTGTATTGTAGAAGTAGCTAGTGACCCCTCCTGAAACCTCTGCAGTCTCTGTATAAGCAGAGAGAGGAATGGCTAGTAATACAGCAAGACAAAATGGTGAGGGAAGAAGAAAGAAAGGAGAGAAATGTAGCTAAGCACGTTATTTACTCTTGATGCTAACTCTTCATCAGGCTTATATGAACCCCATACCGACCTGTGATTCTCCTTTCCCCTGCCCAATGTTAAAGCAGAAATAAAACATAAACAGGCATAGCCAAAATATTGGGTGCACACTTTAAGAGAGATCCCAAAGCATGTGTTTGACTTCTGACTGATTACTGACTTCTCCACAGTTAAATGTTTCTTTACGATTACATTCAGACTCAGAATTCTTCCTGTTTTCTCATTTTCAGAAAAAAAAATCCTTTCATCATTTCAGACAGAAAGGCAACAAGAAACTGAACAATCACAATGATCCTAAAGAAACACTGACTGGACGGCGAGTAACACAAAAAATATAAAAAAAGAAAAAACCCAAAAACGTCCAAGAAAACATTTTTGCTGGCTTCTCCAAAAGAGGGAACATGTAATTGCACCAAAAGACTACAAAAAAAAACTTGTAATTGCTTCTGACAGAAGTCTGGACTCATTCAGTCATGGCCACAAGCAAGTCTGCAGTTTCCAACAAAGATTTAATCTCCTCCAGCAACTGGTATGTGCCTTTCTTAGTTTAAAGAAATGGAATGTGGACATCCAGTTCACACATGGGCTTGTCTGCTCTACATGCTGAAAGCATAATTGCAAGCTAATCACACATACATCATTACAGCAAATCAAAGAGTAAGTATCCACAAAACGGGAAAAAGGAGAACAAAAGCCTAAGCCTATCCCCAGTGTGGCATCATGAGGCCTCTGAAAACCTCTTGGCAACTCCTATTCACAGAAATTGTGAAGGAGTACAAGGAAAATTGCAGGAGCAAAATTGCTTTATACACTTCAGCTGGGCATGCTGCTGTTCCTGCACTCAGATATATACATGAGAGAGGAGGAAAATGGCAGGAACTGGAAAAAGAGAGGCCTGCGATGATCTTACTTCTCTCTGGGGCAGTCTGTTAAATACCTCTGCAGGGTGAATGTGAGAGCATTGCCCCCAGTGCAATGAATAATTTCTCCTGCACCTTCCTGGATTGATAACTTGCCTCAGCACAGACACCAGCTTTCTCATTTCTCAGATGGACTAAGAGTTGAAAGGAAGAACTGAAAAGCACCTTTTCTTCCATGCCTCCCCAGCTGCAAGGTTTCTGGTTGCAGCTGTAGTAGGCAAATGGGCATAGGCTGGCACAAATGCTTCAGTAAAGCTGACAGACAAGTTCTGTATCAGCCTTCTCCTTAGCTGGGTCCTTTCATGGACTCTGTCAGTGTGACATGAAAGCAGCCAAGCCCAAAACAGCAGGGGTGGCATGCTGAACTGCAAGGAGGGCACAAAACACAATGTAAAAATGACAGAGGACATGTGGAGCCAGAGACTCAGGGAGAAACCCTAAAAGGTGATCAGGAAACTCTGCAACATATTGGTGGGATCAGTTCAGCCTATACCTCTCTTGGCACATAGTGGGGTACCCTGCATCTTTGCGTCTTCTCCCTTTTGAATAAATGCAGAGTGAGAAAAATATCGGCCCCTACATACATGGGAAAGGCTCTCTGGGGTGCGAGCAAGGGGAAGGCTGCCTGGGGACAGCAGGGGAGAATGTAGAAGCAGCAAAAGGCCAGCTTTGTCTTGTACCAGAGGAATCACAAGTGGAACAAGCCCTGAAAATAGAAGAGAAAGAGGCAGGAAAGTAGGGGTTTGTGACAAAAAGCAGGTCTATATTAGCTCTGAGGTTGGTCTGGGTTGCAGGTGGGCACCTCAAATAATAGTGCAGGCCGTGCTAACCACACAGACACAGGCTGCAGGACTGAGGGAGGGGGTGAAAGGTACAAAGAAGGTTTATTTTGCTGAAAATTTACGCTCTGTGTTCAGGCAAGAACAAGGCAGCAGCCGAACAGAGCTGCTCCTTAGGTGCAGGGACAGCTACACAAGCCACATTGGAGGCCTTACAGCCAAAACCAACAAGAGTAAAAGGCCTGTTTATTTAAGTGCTGTCTTTTCCCCAAAGCCTGCTAAGAATTACCAAGAAGTACACAAGAACTTCATATATTGGGCAAAGCAACCAACTAACAGACCAGTGTGCACCAGCAGCGCATTCTTGGCTCAGTTGCACTAGGGCCCGCACAGGGCTTTGCCTGCTAGTAGTGGCAGCCCCAAGCACGGCTCTCCTGAGTCCTGCCAGAGACCTTCCCAGGAGACAGACTGAGGAGCTAGGGGTGGGCATCCCCAGCCAGGGGAGCAACTGGAAGTGTCAGCTTGGCTGGGCAGAGGCACCCTAATCCCCTTTTGAAGCCTCTAAACCCTTGCAAAGCCATGGACTGGGGCACTCAGGCTTTTGGGGCACAACAGGCTTTCCTGTTGCTGTCCTTCACATACCCCTGGCTCATGCTGATCCAGCTGCATGCAGACAGGTCTGTCCTGCCAGACTGACCTCTGTGAGTTAGTGGGATGGCCAGCATCCTGCATTTGATTTTAAGTTCAGCTTGACAGAAAGGCACTTGCTTCTGTGAAATATGAATACTAAGAAAGTGGTAATGCAGAGCAGCTGCTGGTCATGCAGTCTGTTAGCCCTGTTGCCACTCAAGACAGCCCTGCTCATGGTGTTGCCTGAATTTCCACTCCCCATTGTTAGTTGAGGCAATGGATGTCTCCTGTGAAAATAAGAAGTTTCCTCATTCAAATGGACATGTTCCAAAGCATTTTGTCCCAATGGGATGCTCTCAGAAGCCAGCTGAACTGTCATATTCATGCTGTATTATGCTGGACAAGGAAGCCAATAACACAGCTTTTAAATAACTTCAGATTCTGTAGAGTCAAAGTGTTAAACACAGATGTCACAGCTCTGAAAGAAAAGAAGGGACAAGGACATGACAATAGTGCAATTTACTTCATAAGCTTGTGTATCCAATGAGCTGCTTGGGAGCCAAATTTACCAGTCCTTTATAAACAGCCCTAGTTGAGAGCATATAAAGCCCTAGTTGTTGAAAGCATAAAAGGATGCATTCTATCTGAACAGATCCTCACAGGACTGCTGAGTCACAGATTCTCACAGAATCATAAATTTTACAATGTGCTGCTTCAGGATGTGTACTCCTGACCTTTATCCCTGCTGCATACACCTAGCTTGGAAGAAGTGACAACCCACCAACTTGAACTCAGCCTGCTTACAAAATAAACTAGTGCATTTGCTTGATTTTCACAGAACAAAAAAAGGATAAAAAATTTTAAAATACTCACAATGACAAGTGATTGGATTGTCTCATATGCTTAACTGCACACTTCAAACATATCTACTCTTCTGAAACCTCCCACATGAATACTTACTTTACAGGGGATTACTTCCCCTTTGTACAATGGGACACTTCCCTGTCTTCCCCTCAAAATCTGATGAATATAATTTCCAAGGTATCAGGAGTTGAGAAGAGCAGTTAGGTTATTTTTTTTTAGCTCTCATGTGATGGCACCACCATTCTTCAGTTATCACAGTACTGTACCTTTCACGTATACAGCACCGGTACCATGATAACCGAAAAAGGACAGTTCATACTCTTATTATTTGATGCCATTGCCAGATAAACAAACCTCCCTTTATTTGACTAAAGAATAACTGCTCAGTCTCTAGAAATAACTGTGATCTAGTAAGTCCCCTAAAAGTCTGAGAAATTAAATTTTTGATAAATTATTTCAATAACTTTGTTTTGATAAATTGTTTTTGATAATTTGTTTCCCTAACCTGTTTCTCCTAGAGCTCAATTAGGCCACTGCTGTGAAAGATAATAAAAAGTGTTTTTATAAATACATTAAAAACTAAAGGAAGACCATGGAAAATCTCCATGCTTTACTGGATGTGGAAGGGAACATTGTCATCAAGGAAGAGGAAAAGGCTGAGGTCCTCAACATCTTCTTTGCCTCAGTCTTCAACAGTAAGACTTGTCCTCAGGGCAACCAGCCCCCTAGCTGGGGTACAGGGAGCAGAATAGATCTTCTGCAATACACAGTGAAGTACCGAGCCATTTAGGGACTCAGAATTCTATGGGGTTGGATGGAATTCATTCAAGGGTACTGAGGGAGCTGGCAGAAGCACTCACCAAGAAAATCTCCATCATGTAGCATCAGTCCTGGCTAACTGAGCAGGTCCCAGAGGACTGGAAGTTGGCCAGTGTGATGCTCATACCAGCAGGGTCAGAAGGAGGATCCAGGGAATATAGTAATAGCCCATGGCTTGGGTGGGTACCCTCTTCACTGGGTAAAAAATCATTTGTGTGGCTGGGCCCAGAACTTGGTGGTGCATGGAGTTACATCCAGCTGGTTGCCAGTGACCAGTGGTGTTCCCAGGGCTCAGTACTGGGGCCAGACCTGTTTAATACCTTCATCAGTGATGTGGATGAGGGCACTGAATGCATTCTCAGTCAGAGTGTAGATGACACCAAGCTGGATGGGAGTACAGGAGGGCAGGAAGGCTCTGCAGAGGGATCTGCACAGGCTGGATCATGGCCAAGGCCAGTGGTGTGAGGTACAACAAGGCCAGTGCTGGTCCTGCCCTTGGGTCACAACAACCCCAGGCAGAGTTCCAGGCTGGGGACAGAGTGGCTGGACAGTGGCCAAGCAGAAAGGAACCTCTGGATACAGACTGACAGCAGCTGAGCATGAGCCAGCAGTGCCCAGGTGGCCAAGAGGGCCAATGGCACCTGGCCTGTGCCAGCAACAGCGTGGCCAGCAGGAGCAGGGCAGGGATTGTCCCCTGTACTCAGCACTGGTGAGGCCACACCTTGAATTGTGTGCTCAGTTTTGGGCCCCTCGCTCCAAGAAGGACATTGAGATGCTGGAGCAGGTCCAGAGAAGGGCAACAGAGTGGGGGAAGTGTCTGGAGCACAAGTCCTGGGAGAAGCAGCTGAAGGAGCTGGGGTTATTTAGCCTGGAGAAAAAAAGGAAGCTCAGGGGAGACCTTATTGCTCCCTACAACTGCCTAAAAGGAGACTGTAGACAGGTGAGTGTTTGGTCTCTTGTCCCAGCTAAGAAGTGACAGGATTAGAAGAAATGGCCTCAAGCTGCACCAGTGTAGGTTCAGGCTGGACATCAGGAAAAGTTTTTTCTCTGCAAGGGTTGTTAAGAATTGAAATGGGCCACGCATGGTGGTGGTGAAATCACAATCTGTGCAGTGTTAAAGAAACAACCAGATCTAGCTTCACTAGTTAAGAAATAGTGTTCAGTCAAAAGTTGGACTTGATCTTAGACATCTTTTCCAACCTTGATAATTCTGTGATTCTGTAACCCGTGTTTACAACTAGCAATATAAAAAATTAATTTCTTTTATCTCCTCTGAACAACTACCAGCTACAGATAAAGCTTTAGTAGAAACTGAAACTGAAGGACCAGATAGAATTTTGCTGCCAAATAAAACCTTGAAATAGCACATAGCTCCATGAATTGAAGTCTTAAGCTGTTTCATAGGAAAAAATACAGCTTTAGAGTTTAGCTAGCCATTTGAAATACAACAATTAATGGCACAGCTACAGAGAGATCGCTAGGGAAAATATAGTAGTGTACACTAGGCAACAAAAAGCCAGCTGATGTACACAATACATTCCAGGTCAAGAATCATCAATAAACCCTGTCTCTGCAATTCTCAGAAACAGGAATAATACAGAACAGTAAGGGACTCATCTAACATGTAGAAACAAATCCTAGGCAACTTACACCACTTGTCTCATTTGAAGTCAAGTACAAGTTGTTCTATTTGTTACCATAGGCAAAGTCTTCCATATATAAAAATAGCTGTGCAATAAAACTAGTGAATTAAAACAAGACTGTGTAATTAAACTGAACAAAACAACTTACGTATATGGAGACAGAGGTCCCAACAGCACTTTGGAAACATCCTGCTGTCCAAGGGTCATAAGGAGCAGAGCAAGGCTCTGATTTGTTGAATCTACACAGCCTCCCTGCAAACCAAAATGTTTTAATAATTAATCTCTGTACAAACCTGAAATTGGGATAGGAGGAGAGTAAAAAAGGCAAAAGATACACTTAAAAGGGTGAAATGTGAAATACCACTTCCAATTTTTAAGGGCCAAGAAGATAAAAATCTTGATTTTTTTAAACAATGATAAATTAATTTCACATAGGAGGCTGGGAAAAGAACAGAATTAAAACAAAACCCATAAGAAGGTCACATTAAGCATCCCTCCTAATCTGTTTTAACATCTCAGAATGTAAACACTGAACAATTTCTTTGCAGTAAATTGAAATGAGGTATTAGTTCTAGTTCACATGCATCTGAAGATCCATGAATTCCAGCTTTTTATGGTAATAATTACATTTGGACAAATAGTTCAGTGTTAGCAGGTGCAAAATAGCAAGCTTTTAGCACTTATCCACAAAAACCTTTGTTGCCAACTTTTCCGGGTTTACGCTTGTAAAACATTTCCCTCCATAATTAAAACAGAAGACTTTCTAATTTGTAAGTGAAAGAGGCATACATAAAATTAAGTAGAACCACACACACTCTTGTACATATTTGACTGTAATAAATCATATGCAAGGTAAACTTTTCTGTATGTGGAATGTGTTTACTATGATGCATACATTCATTAGAACTGGAGGGCTAGAATTAGAAATAAGAATTGTTTACAAAGCTGGAATATAAATTTAAAGGGATATTTTCAATCAAGGCTGCTGTAGAGAGCAGACACATGAAATCTATGAACAGTTTCCTGCTACATGAAGCCTAATGCAAAGTCCTCTGAATAGGCTCTCTGGAGAGACTGAAACTAAAACCTTACCTTTTTAAAAACAAATTCTCTAATGAGGTAAACTGGCAGCTACCTCTGTTGACAAGGAAGGTAACCTATCATAATTTCAATACATAACACTATCCAAGAAGGCAAGGGACAAAATATATTCTGGACTACACAGATTAAGAGAATCAGCCAATGTGACAACCTCAGCACATGTACTGAGTGAGATGCAGAAAGGGAGAGCCTTTCCAAGGGGGCATACTGAAGACTTAATTTTCAAGATGGCCTTGCTTCTGTGTGACAAGCTGCAGCTCCATTCTTCTGAAAAAAAGTCTGTGCATTACATGCAATGAACTACAGCACAGCAAAATAAATAGCTCTATCACATTCACTACCATGACCCAACTCCTAAAACATGCTCTTACAGCAGTATTAGCCCTCTTAACTGTGTGAACTTGCCATACCAAAATGAAGTTCACATGCTCAAGCTAATGCTGCCTATAGAACTGATAAAAATTTTGCTTTATCTTGAGTGAACAGAATTTGCTGGTGCAATCTAAAGCCACAGATCTCACCAGCTGTATTTGCTAATGAGAAGCACACACCAGGAGCAGATAAGAGTTTGGTAAGGAGTATTCCTGACAGTGGACTTTCTGTAGTTGTAGTTTGGTTAGTAATTCAAAATGGTCCTTCTGACTTGGATGAAAACTTCGCATTTTCTGAGCTTGTTTTGTTTCTCTACAGCTGAAAACATGATAAGGTATCTGCTTGTATAACCCAATATATACAAAACCTTCAATCAGCATGGAGACAACCATATCATAAGAAATAAATCAAAACACAATGCACCCATTATATCCTAACTGCTTACATAAGCTCCCTTGCTGCAGTGAGTCAGTCATCCCTAGTACTGCTGTGCAGTAGCAATCTGTTACGCCCATTTGTGGTGGTGTCCCCCTAGAGCCACTCTATGATCTCCTCAGGAATTCTCATTTGACCTTGATTAATGGCTCCAGGGCAGTTAAGCTCCTTTTTAGCTTACCAGAAACAGTCAGCTCCTAGGAAGCTATGCCTAACAAACTGCTGTTTTCTAATGGACAGCCTTGGAACATTATTTTTGTATCATAGCCCAGGTGGAACAATACTATTGTTACTGCACCTTTTAATGAAAATTCCAGTAACAACTGACCCAGATTGTGGCCAGAATGGAGAATGACAGAAGGCTAAAACCAAGCATCTCACAACCCTACAGGCAGTAGAACTAAGTGAGCGTCTTTGAGTTCTCCAAGGCCACAGCAGGCTGCACCAGCACCTCCCTAGAAGTGGTACACCTCTTGAAGCTCAACAACCCTCAAGTCTTCAGTACTTGGAGAACAATCACCAAAAGCTGTTGACAGGGTCTGCGCTGATACACTCAACCCTCAAAAGCTTAATCCTTCAAGTGTTTACAGATAGAAAGCCATCTGACATATTTTACTAAACCTGAGGGGAATTTTTAACCTTTTTATATACATCTTTATGCCTATGTGTGTGCATGTATGAATTGATTTAAATATACTACAGCAAGTGTAGTATGAATGTTGCCATCTCGTAATTTGTCAACTAACTTACTACCGAGCTGATAGAAAATCTTACTGAATCACTTTGTAAATGTTAGCCACAGAATCACAGAACGGCTAAGATTGGAAGGGATCACAGCAGGTCAGCTGGTCCAACCTCTCTGCTCAAGCAGAATTTCCCCAAAGAACATGGCACTGGATTGCATCCAGACTGTTCTTGAGTATCTCCAGTGCATGAGACGCCACAATTTCTCTGGGCAACCTGTTCCAGTATGCAACCACCTGCACTGGAAAGGGTATGTAAAAATATCTTCCTCATATCTAGGTGGAACTTCCTGTGCATCAGTTTCTGTCTGTTGCCTCTTGCCCTATTGCCTAGCACTACCAAGAAAAGCTTGGATCCGTCTTCCTGGCACCCTCCCCTCAGATGTATCAATAAGGCCCTGGCTCAGTCACCTCTTCTCAACACCAAACAGGTGCAGCTTGCTTGGCCTTTCCTTGTAAGAGAGATGCTCCAATCCTTTAATCATCTTTGTCATCTCCTCTAGACTTGCTCCAGGAGCATCATGTTTCTCTTGTTATGAGAACAGAACACAGCATTCCATATGTGGCTTCACCAGGTCTGAGTAGAGGGGCAGGATCAACTCCCTCAACCTGCTGTCAATGCTCTTCCTAATGCACCCCCGGATATCACTGGCCTTCTTGGCCACCAGGACACACTGTTGGCTTATAGACAGCGTGTTGTCCCCCAGGATACAGAGAGCTATTCCGCAGTGGGTCAGTTCCCAGTCTCTGCTAATGCCCGGGTTGTTCTTCCCCAGGTACAGAACCTTGCATTCACCTTTGCTGAGTTTCAGGAGGTTCTTCTCAGTCCATCCCTCCACCCTGTCAAGGCCCTTCTGAAGGGCTGCACGACCCTCTGGGGTATCGGCCGCTGCTCCCAGCTCTGCGTTGTGAGTGAAGCCATTGAGAAGACATTTGTGCGTTTGTTCAAGTTATTGGTGGAGAAGTTAAACAATATTGGACCAGTATTGAACCCTGGGGACACCACTGGTGACAGGCCTTCAGCCAGACCCTACACTATTGATTACAACAACCTGGGATCTCCCATTCAGCTGGTTCTTAATCCACCTCCTTGTCCAGTCATTTAATCCACACTTCCTAAGTTTGCCTATGAAAATGTTGTGAGAGACAGTGTCAAAAGCCTTGTTGAAGTCAAGGTAGACAATATCCCCTGCTTTTCCTTCATCCATTCATCTAGTTGTTTCATTATAGAAGAGAAGCAGGTCAGTCAAATATGATGTACCTTAAATGAATCCATGCTGACTACTCCTGTTCACCTTCTTGTCCTCCATAAGGATAGAAATGGCCTCCAGAATCATCATGGATTGATGTGAGGCTGGCTGTCTGGTAGCTTCCTGTGTCCTTCTTTTAATTTTTATGCCCAGTGTTGCATTTGCTTCCTTCCAGTCCTCAGGCACTTCTCCTGCTTACTACAGCATTTCAAAGATGATTGTAAATTGCCCACCTTGGTGTCTGTCCAAGATTAAAAAAAGAACGTTTTCCTATTTACCATCTGAGTAGGAGTTGCCTTGGGGCAGTTTTCCTTATCTGCTGTTAATAGCCCCATCAATGCCTTGCCACATGACTCAGAGATAACACCGTCCAGGAGCAGGTGATTAAGGACACACCTCGTGACTCATAATGACTACATTGTAAGATGCTCTGCCCAGGGGGGAGGAGCTAGGCATTTCAACCTGGATAAAACTGGGGATTTCTAGACAGAGGGTCAGCCTTTTCACAGGTTCTCCGAGAAGACACAGCAACTACATCTGCCATCCCAAGAGGACTGCAGCTACTCCAATTTGGACTGCTACCAGCACGCTGGCCAGGTTGTATTCTGACTTTGTCAGTAGTCTTTCCCTTTGTATTATTGCATGTATTTTTGTCCTTTTCCCCTTTTCCCAATAAATTGTATTTCTGACTTGGAGTCTCTCACTGGTTTTGCTTTCAAACCAGAACAGTGTCTATCAGCTCTCTCAGCACTTGTGGGTGCATCCCATCAGGGTCCATGGACTTGTGGATGCCAGGTTTGCCTGACTCCAACTCGGTCCTCCTTAAGCAAGTGAAAGTCTTCCTTCAACCCTTCCTTCTCTCTAGTCTCCTGGGTCAGAGATCCCTGAGGGTTGGTCTTGTCAGTGATGACTCTGCCTCCTCTGTATCCTTTGTTAACAGGGCCCCACTTCCATTTAGTATCAGGCCTATACTATCTTTTCCTTTTGTTATTGATGTATTTGAAAAATCCTTTCTTGTTGTCCTTTACATTCTTTGCCAGACTTAATTCCAGGTGGACCTTGGCTTTCCTTGTCTCTTTTCTATGTACTCTGACAACCTCTCTATATTAATTCCAAGTTACCTGATGCTGTTTCCAGGTCCCGTGTATTTTCTGCTTACCCTTGATAACGAGAGGAGTTCTTTATTTATCCATCAGATCTCTTCCCCTTTGCCCAATTTCTTGCTCATTTGGAAGTATTGTTCTAGGGCCTGGAGGAAGCGATTCTTGAATATCAACCAACCCTCTTGGATCCCTCAGGGTCTGTCGGACCCTGTGAGGCTTGTTCTCATGTCATTCTCCATGAAGATCTCCCTGCAGAAGCTAAAGTTAACTCTCCTGAAGTCTGTGGTTGTGGTTATTTGCTGCCCTGCTTTCTCCTCACCTGGAACTGAATTCCACACTCTCATGGTCACACCTCCAGCAGGGCCTTCCCTGTTTGTTAGTATCAGTTGAGCAGCACACCATTGCCTGGGGGATCCTCCACTACCTGTGTCAGGAAATTGTCATCCATGCTTTCCAGGAATCTCCTGGGCTGTTTGTGTTTCACTGTGCTGGTTCTGCAGCAGATGTCAGGGGAGTAAAGCCCTCCAAAAGATCCAGGGCCTGTGACTTGGAGGCTGCTTCATGATGCCTGTAGATGGCTCATTTGCTTTCTCCTCCTGATCAGGCAACAAACACCCACAGCAGCAAACACCCTTACTAGTCTGCCCTTTTATCCTGACCCCTAAGCCCATCGTCCTCACCAAGACAGAGCTAATACCGTCAGGGCTGTCTCTCCTGAACAGGGTGTACCCCTTCATGCCAACATTCCAGTCACATGAACTATCCCATCATGTCTCTGTCACTGCAAAGCCCTGTGAGTGCCTGTAGATCTTCAGCTCATCTTGTTTGTTCTTCATACTGTGTGCAGTGGTGCACATGCACTTTATAGAAGTATTTAATTGTGTCAGCATTCCAGGAGATTAAATGCTGCTACATTTAGACAAATTGTTGATCAAGTCTGAGGCTACATTTTGCAAGGGATCCACCTCTGTAACCCAAACGGAGGACCTCCCTTACCCCTTTTGTAGCCTTATAATTTTCCATCCTTACCTTTTTGCATTCCCGTTCTCTGCATAAATCATTGTAGATTCACTCTAGCCCAATTTTTTCTTTGCATGCCTCATCTATGTAATAAGCAATAGTGAACCTTGCCATCAAAATTTGTGGCACATCAACAAATTTATACAAAAACTTACTTTTGACAATACTTTTGCCAGAGATTTAAGTGATCTAAACCACTCATTTGCAACACCATTCCTACAAAGGCAGCTCCCAGACAGTGACATTAAGTGATTGCTTGTAATCTAATGACTGAACAGTAACTTCTGCCAAGTGAAGGACTTAACATGCCCAAGGAGGCCAAGCTTTTTTCTATCAATCCACCTGCCACTTACTCAAGAGTCAAAAATTAGAAACAATCCTACCAAAAGAAATGGGATGGGCAAAATCAAAGCCAAGGTACATTTGTTCCAAAATAGCTGGCGCTCATTACCAATGTAGAATGCAGCTTCTAGACTGTATTAATTCAGTCTATGGCAGTTTCTCTATTATTGTTTACACTGACTACAGAGCCAGATTCAGCTAGTTGGGACAATTAGACACAGATCCCTTCAAATCCCATCCACTTTTAAATGTTGTACAAATACTACAGCCAACAGGTACATACAAATGTCACAGCTCTATGTATTGGACAACAGTGTTTCAAAAAGGTTTTTTCTTCTGAGCTTGAACCTAGCTTTGATTGAGTGTTAGTTATATTTTGGGATACACACAATTTTTTCCCTTACATGTGTGGTACATATTTGAAGGACTCAATAGTTTGTCATGCAAAGGGTAACAAATTATTGCAGAGCATTTGTATCTTAGTTTTTGGGATTTGGGATTTTTTTCCAGAAGAACAGAACAAAACCTTACCATACTGAAGTAAGAACATCTTGAAAATTAAGACATCAATGAAATCCTTCACTCATTTTAGCTCTAGTTCAATAAAACAAAAAGCTTTAAACCTCCTGCCCCTTCAAGGTCCCCTAGCAACTCAGCCTTTCTTCATTAAAGAGTTCAGCCTTAAATAGGTACACATACTCCCCTATTTTTCATGATTACAAAGAATATAAAAATTAAATCCTTTTCCAGTTCTTCCAGACTTTCCATTCTGCCAATTACTCTCTACATAAAGCTCCCATAAACAATGTCTTTCAAAGACAAGAGTTAAAATCCTTACTGGTCTTCTACAATTAAGCTTCAGAAAGAACTGTATATGGATTTGTAATGACAATGCTAGTCAGTCACTCCATTGCCCCCTCTTGCAGAGCCACTGCAATTAAGGCACTGTGCCACTTACTATTAGTCTATTAGCTCAGACATCTTTCCATCAACAAATATGCATTTAAAAAGCTCTGCTGATTCCAAGAATCATGCAACCTAATTAATATATGTTTGAGTGCTCAGTAAAAGGACTTTTAGCAAGACTCAAATCAGATTTCCTAGGTGGTAAACTTTACACAATGGCAAGCACTTCACAAAATGTCCCTGGACCCCTTTCAACAGTAACTGCAACTCCAGCAGATTTGTGGGTGACCCCAATACCTAAAGCCCTTTTACAGAGAATTATCTCTAGTGTTCTCAGGGTGCCCTTGTCCGGTCATCCTCCCTAGCTCCCACAGCCTAGTACCTACCAGTAAAAACACAGATGATGAAATAATCCCATAAACAGAAAATCTAAAAACAGGAAAAGAAATTCTCCCTTGAGCCCTCAATTCAACAAGTAGGTGGTGTAAAAAGATGTGGGACTTAATGATTGCCTGTTCAGAGCAATCTATTCTTGCTTTTTCAGATTTTTAGTTTCAATAAACATCTTACCTAGGCAAAGAAACATAAAAAACCTAAACAAACACTGTGCATTTTGCAGCATGTTCCTATATTCCCTCTGTGGTCAGCACTAAATCAAACTGACCTAACAAAAAAAAACCAAAAAAGATCAAACAAATGAAAAACCACCCCAAACAAAAAATAAATGTCCGAAAACCAAACACCCTAAAAAAACCCATCCCAAAAAAAAACCAAACTAAACCCCAAAAAAATACAAAAGTAAGAAAATGAAAAAGAAACCTTATCTTTCAAAATTCAGGCTAGCGCTGTAGGACCATGGGTATCATACATAAATTCAAGAATGTGTTCCAAAAACTACATAACAAAACCCATCATACTGCCCATGAAGGAGGGAGAGGGGAATGCACTAAATAATGACTAAACACTGCAGTGAAAAAGTAGCACAACAGCCAAAAATGCTAGCAAACTAGAACTTTTCCACAGTAAGCTGCTGTAGCGAAGGACAAATAGGCTGTACACTGCTTAGCACTTTTAGTCACTTTTGGACAGAAGTCACCCACACATAAAGGAGTCTTCCAGCAGCACCAACAGCACTATAGCAAGCCACAGGTAACAGCCTCACTCACTCAGATCCTGGTCTTCAAAGACACTGAAACCTGACAGGCTATTACTTTATGATTCAAAGATTTGTCTGGCCCTGCTTCCTCCTCAAACTTTTTTTCCTGTTGTCTTAAGATCTTCACTATCCTTTGCAGAATTTGACTCATCATATTCAAATGGCTGTCATACACTAAAGCAGAAAGTTACTTGCTTTAGGCCGTTCCAGCCCTCTTCGTTTCATAAATTCTCTGGCATCTGATTCTGTGCAACACATAATATCTGGACAAATTGCCTCACTAGTTCTAATCTATCAAGTGCTAAATGGTTTCCAAAGGAAAAAAAAATAAACCTATTGTTGCTGATAAAAGTATGTGGAAACTGGATTTTTGATGTCTCTGGACATCTGACTACCTGAAGAAGTTTTCCAAGACATGTACTCAAACAAATGTACCAAAAGATTTTTGTAGTTCATGCCTGCAATAAAAATAACTACATGACACTACACAATTGCAAGAACAGACAGATGTTTCCATCACTAGCTGTGACTACGTTCTCCACACAGGCCAGACTTTCAAATACAAGGAGTCTAGATTGTACCCAGCAACCCAGGAGGAACATTTTGGTGGTGGCATTTCCATGAGACAAGAAGCCTGGGCTAGAAAAGTCCTTCAGTAACATGGTTTATATGCTGAATAAACAAAGACAAAACATTAATGGAAGACTGGAAAAAGTGGCCAACTGGTAATTCAAACCGATAAAAGATTTGCAACAAGGAAAGAGAAAAATAAAATGGGCACAGATTAACTATCCAACACAGGTATAGATGTGATTTATGAAGTTGAGGGGTGGTTATTACAGTTCAGAGTAACTACTTGTTTTTTTAAATAATAAGCAAAATTTGTAATGACTGCCTCCTAAAGGCCAAACATGTTGTACCATTGCTAAAACAGTTATTTAAACACTTGTGGAGATACAAAACAATGCACCTGGAAGGTTCTTTATTAAATTTTAATTAAACTCATCAGAGTGCTATTTGCCAAATCATTTGTAACACTGAAAGCTGCTTATCCACTAAAATTCTTGCCACAAATGAAAATAATTTTAAAAAAGAAAAAAATCTATTCTGAAGAAAACTGTGATGTACTTAAGATTCCAAAGTAAATGCCATCCTATCTCCCTTCCAACAACCCATTAAGACAATTCTTCATATAACCAACAATTTACAGCACATTTGACTTTGTTATCATCATCACAAAGTGGTCAACATGAAACCTCGCTGGGATTTTTTTCCCCTTCTGCCTCTCCTATGCTCTTCCACTCATAATGTCCCATTCCAACCACTAGTTTAGAAGCACAGACTATGTCACCCATCCATATTATTTAGAAGAGTAACAGCCCATGCAAAGCTAACTGGATTCTGTTGCAGACAGAAAGCAACAGAAGAAGTTTCTACCACTCTCATGATTCATAGTAACACATATCAGACATTGGAAATAGCATGCTCCAGTAAGTCATTACACTGTCAAAGGAACCCCGCAAAACCACTCTTTACCTGGATGAAAAAGACAGCGGCAGCATCAGACCATTTCTCTGCTCGGATCCGAGCCTGTCTGAGGGACCCACCAAACCACCTTTACCTATTTTATCATCTCTTTCTCTTACACCTGTACACACATATACAAAACATATTGGCCACTTACTCTGTAAACCTCCTCAAGCAGTAGCTTAGCACAATTCTGCCCCAGTTCCTCAGGAAGCACAGCTGCTCCCTGGCCCTGAGGGTTTGAGGCTAGCTCAGCACTGAGAATAGTGCCATTGATGGTTTCTGCAGTAAGGCACATGCCAAAACCTGGTGATCTGAAAGAAAGTGAAAATATACATTTCATTTAAGGACAAAATTGGACTAATGAGACAAGAACTTCAAGTCATAAACCGCTCCTCCCAAAGGATGACAAACATCCTGTTTGATACAATAGACTGACACTCAAAAAAGAAAATTAACAACTGTACTTAAAAGTCAAACCCAGTACCAGCTGCCACAAAACCCTCTATGTTGGCTTTTCCTTGGCCAAACTCTATATACAAGAAAAATAAAAAAGAAAATAAAAAGCCACACAAACATCAGAAATGTTTGGGGTTTTTTTAATAGAGGAGGGTACCTTTCACATTTATTTAATTTGTGTTTCATAAATATTTGAAAGGTATCTGGTGTTTCTTCTCTGTGACATTCAAAATCAAAACTACCCTTCTTTAAGGCTTTAGCTCTTTTCCCTGGAAGCCACAATATTTAGCAAAATTAGACTAATTAGGTAGTATCAAGGATACTGTTATCATATGGATTCATATTTAAGATGAATGTCACAACACAGTAGCATCAGACACCCAGCCAGCCAGGTTGAAAGTGATTCAGTTCCTCTTCCCATACTATTGTTTACCCCTCTGCATGAGCTGAATGTAGTAAAAATAATGTTGCTGCATCTAATCAATTGACTTCTTAAATTTCATAAACAGATGAAAACCAAAATTGAGACCCTAAAACTACACGGCTCCCAGAAATATTTTTGCAATTCTGATCCTGTAAACAGTTTAGAGCCATTAAAGTAACAATCCTGGCATATTAAATATGATGAAGGATTACAAAAGACAAAACATTCTAAAAATTTCTGTAATAATTTCTAGGTTCATAAACTTTTGAATCTAACAAATTTTAACAAAATATTTCAAAAAACAAAAACAGTGAAAGAAAACATGCATGCCTGCATTTGAGCATACCGACAAAAAACTATCAAATGAGTTATCCAGAATCTTTCAACCTCAAGGAAGAAGACTACAGAGATGACAGATACCAGAAAAATTGTCTAAATCATATCCATCACTTCTGTGTTCTGTCGCCAAACAAAATCTGTGGAAGTACAATAAATTAATTTTCCACTCCTTGCTAGTGAGAGGACATTCCTTCAGCCATTCCACAGAAGACAATCTATACTGCTTTAACACTTCTTTAAAAAACACCTCGGTCCTGTCCTTAATATTACCATTTCCATCAGAAGGTCTACAGTCAACCTTGAATCTTGGTTTCCTGAACACATCATGACACCTTTGATCTTAATCTCTCTTCAAAGCAACAGATTTAAAAATGAAGGGAGCTCAAACTGCCTTTAGTGGCAGTAGTGATGTATTGCATTCCTTGTTTAAGAAAACACATTACCCTGTTAGGTAAGTAAAACAAATGTATCTAGAGAATCATCCATTCTTTCTTTGTGAGAAATATTTATTTCAAAACAACAAAATAGAGGATTGTGATCTAAAACTTAGTAAAATTAGATCAGGACACCCTAGCAAATGAACAAATGCAGAATTACATGTGTGTTTCCTGTAAATTCTGGATACTCACTTTCCAGAGCTGACCCCCTTCATATGATCTGTGTAGATATAGATGTCTGGGAGGAATTTATTCAAGATGCCTCTTGCAGATTCCACCATTCTGTTTGCCATCTGTGGTGACACTCGGACAGAGTATCTACATTTCTGAGATAAGAAATCCATTGTGATCACAAGAAAAAATTGAAAGCAGAGGCTGACAAAAGTGAAGAAGCCCCAGTGCATTATTTCAGAAAACATGTATTTTATACATCTATTCATGGGCTTTTGTCCATGTTCCTGTATCTAGAGAACCATAAGCATGTAACTGGTTTCTACAGTCTTTTCATTTACATATCTTGAAGTGCACAGAACATGTGATGAAGAACAGATTACGACTAAGTAAATATCTATCTTGAAAATGCCCCTCATCAAATTTAAATTGCTGTTCTGTCATCATGTACTTTCTTATGATGGAGGAAGTACCACATGCTCTGTTCTTCATGTTTTATTAAAACACAATCCTGAGTGGAGTTTCTGTGAATTAGCAGCAAAAAAATCCTGCCTTTCTGTTTCTATTAAGGAGAAGTTGGGAAGATTAATAAGAAATTAAAGACAAATGTTCCAACAACAACAAAAAAAAATTAAAAGGCTCTAAGAAAAATATCTTCACTATCTCCAACTATTTTGCAGCATTCTGAGGTTATCAAATTCACTAGATCTCTAGTCACTTAACATCTGAAAGTTCCAGGAAGGAAGAACCTACCACCTTCCCACCCACCCCAACCCACCTCCTCACAGTACATAAGAGATGAACAGCTTTTCTGATCTTGTACTCAAGTGCTGCTTCAGAGAAACTCCCAAAAGATCTTCAACTTTGCAAAGCACATTATGCTTTAAATTCCAGCCCAACTATAATGCAGACTCACACTCCATTCATCTGCACATAGATTCACATAGCAATGCACAGAAATTCTCAAAACTCCCAGTTGGCAGGAAGGAATTTCCTTTTCTACAAACTTCTATAGCATCTCTTGTGGAGTAGGCAAACCCAAAACTTTAGGATCTTAGGGCAAAATCGTTAAAAAATAATCAGAAAATGGGTTGTTCTGCACAGTTGATGCACTCAGTATTTTGGATTATATAAAAGGCTGCTGTAATATGATTTCCACAGCTGTAAGGAAGAAGATTTACTCAGATGAATCTTGGAAGAACAAAAGTACACATGAAAAAGACTTAAGGACTTATCCTTCCAGATGTTTTGTATTCTATTGCCTTGAAGGACCACTTAATAGCTAAACTAAAATGAGTCTGCCTCTCACCATGCTTAAAAGCAAACCTATACCCCTGAGAAAAGGCCCAAAAAAGCCTATAGCAAGGTAGGAGTTCAGAATTCAATCAGATACATCAATCAAAACCTGAGAAAAGGCCCAGGAAAGCCTGCAGCAAGGTAGAAGTTCAGAATTCAATCAGATACATCAGTCAAAGTGGTCCAGAATGGTGCTGTATATTAATGTCAATTTAGAACAACGGCAGTAAAGTCATGATCATTGCTTCCTCCTCCACACTGAAATATATCTACTTATTACAGAGCAGAATGAAGGCATAAGAAAATTACTTTCTCCACCAATATACCACAGCAACTATCACCAAAAGCACAATGAGCTGCCTCCTTTCTGTTCTACAGCACATGTTTCCAGTAAAATTGCTCTTGCTTGGCACTACTGTACTTATCTAAATTCTGCAACTGGACAAGGTACTCAAAACATCCACTTTTTACACACAGTTGTGACAGTATGCCACAAAGTAAAAGAAGAAACAGGCTGCAAAATGTGATCTCATTTTTGCTTTCCTTTTGAGTAATCAATGCCAAATCGTGTTTGGGACTCTCAAACACAAATTAAACTACAAGTTGGCCACTGTTTAAGACAGTTTCATGTAAGAGATTTCTACCTTCTTCCTACAATGACAGCAGATTCATGAAAGATACAATACAAAGGCCACAAGAGAAAAATAAAATCAAAAAGAAATAAACAATCCAAAACATTGGCTAGGTTTGTAGTTGTTTGAAAAAGTAAGGAGTTCACAAGAGTATTTTGTGGCCTTAATTCCGTGTAGAATAAAACCTCCTCCACTTCCCCCTGCAATGGCACTACCAAAAGTGAAGAGCCAAAGAACTTCTTTTCAAAACACACCAAAAGCTCAGTGTGTGCTGCAAGGTGGAAACTGAACTAAGATTTAGTTAAATGCTAAACTATCACCCCATCTTAATTTCTGCTAAACAAGAAACTGCCAAGATGTCACCTATTCAATGCACAACTAAACTACACTTGTTACTAATGAATTTACACGCAAAGTAAGATTTCTTTAAGTGCTCCTACATTATGTGATAGAAGGTATTTTAACTCTTTCTTGCTATTGAGAAGATTTTAATAGTGCTGTTCAGCTTTGAATTTATTCAATAGTTTACAGATGCTTTTTGAACAGTAATGGTTTGAACACAGGAATTTTGAGACACAGTCCTGAAATCTAGTTGTATGACCCCTCTGCGTAATGTTGGCCTGTGTTACCTAGATACATGTTCAGAAATGTGGGTGCACTTCTATGACTTCTAAGTTAGGGGACTTTTTTTAAATAAGCAAACTCATTTAAAAGCAGAAAAACAGACAGACAAACGAAAAGGATACGCAGTTCCTCTGATGCGCTTGATTTTTCCAGGGTCTGTGAACTGAACAGGCTGCAAAACCTTTCTCACTGGGCAAGTAAACAGTATCTCTCCACCCCCTTTGGGAGGCATTCCTCTTCGGTTGATCTAGAACAAATAATGGACAAAAAAAGCAAGTTAGTAAATAGTACAAAGAATGTACCTACACACCCCAAAATTACACTCTTATTTCTCATAGAATAAAATGTTTTAAGTAGAGGCATTATGAGAACACAGGCAAGAAAACCACATCCTAAAAGCAGAAATGGATTTTGCATCAAAACTAAAAGCAGGCATTGTTTTCTTTACTCCTCTCAAGTGAAGTAAGGAATGGCTTCTCAAAAGAAAACAGTGCAAAACAGAACAAAAAAAACTTTACCAAAACAACCTTGGCTTAAGACTTGTCTCTAGTAGCAGATTGCACCTTGCTGCTGAGGAGACCAGAACTATTTGATTTGAGTTCAATTGATTACAGCATGGTGCTGATAATGCCAAGGTCGTGGCTTTGATTCCCATATGGACCATTCACTTAAGATTTGGACTTGATGATCCTTACAGGTCCCTTCTAACTCAGAATATTCTGTAGGTGAGGGACTAGAATGAACTCATCCCCACTAACAGGTCTGTCTAGTCTGACCCAGTCCCACCATTCCAAGGCAAGGATGGAGCTGGGACATGGGCCAGGGAATGGGTCTGGGTAAGGAGGCCCACGGCCAGACAGGGCAGGGCTGTGGTGAGCTGAAGGCCAGCCCTGCTACAGGGTCACAGGAGCAGAGGCTGACAGTGCCAGGACAATGACGTGGGCACTTGAGCTGTGGGCAGGGTGGGGGTGAGGGGTGAGCCTCTGCAGAGCAAGGCACCAGCAGGCCCCAGTAGTGCAGCCAGACCTTTCACACATTTCTCCCACCTAAAAGAAACCCAAATGTTGTTTTGTATCCAGATTTACTGGGCCTATGAAGACTGTAGTATTCAAGAAAAACTCCTTTCCTCTATTTTCCAAACTGGAAACAAACCTCAACCACCCAAACACAGATTCAGCTCTCCTACAAGTGAAAAAGGTAAAAGATGCTATTTTTAATTCCTAGCCCCAAGCATGGGGCAGAATAAACAAGCAGAAATAAAAAGATAAAAAATGAACTGAAAAGCAACAAAAAGCAAAAAGGTTTCTCAGTCTTCTTTGAAGACTAAGGAAAGTCATTACTTTCTCCTTACCCTCCCTATCATGTGGCTCATAGCCACAACTAATTATCTGTTAAGAGACAGAAATCCACAGCAAGCACATGGCGCTGTGAAGTAGTGCAGGAGAATAATTCCAACACATGCTTGAAAAGAAAGGAACAAACTGTCTTACCTTGATTTCCAGACTTTCACCATCAATTCCAAACTTCTTCAGAAGAGGTAGAGCTGTTGCCTTAAGAACATCAACCTATGGAACACAGAATTTTAAGAAAATACTCTCTATTGGAAGTTAGGTTAGTCAGGAGTTTAAAAAATCACTAAATTATGAGGTGACTAACAGAGACAAGTCTTCTTCATGGAAGGTATTTTATGGGAAAACACGGGAATGCAGCACAGAGAGCTTCACCTAGTTAGCCTACCACAATACATCATTACTAAAAAAAAAATCCTGGAACAATTTACTGGCAGACAGAATTTCCTATTCTGGCTTTCTTCCTCAGCCTGATTTTGAATGCCATTATGTAAAACAGCTTACTTATTTCTCTGAACAATGAAACATTTCTCTGAATATTTCTATGTTATTGAGAAAATAATATTCTTCTGTCATTACTAAAAATTTCCTAGAGCTGAACAAATTAATGCAAGAACCACTGCATTTTTTTCAATCATCACTGCAAGAGCAGGCCCTTGATTTAGCAGAAAGATCATTCTAGTAACAACTTTTTTTACCTGTTTCTAAGAAACAGAAGCTTATAAGTAGCTTCTATTGAAGCACTTAAAAGACTCTGAAGTGGGTAACACATCATCAGTGTACTCCCTTTTAAGCCAGGTGCTCATCAGGTCCAAGTCTGAACAGAATTATCCTTGTCATTGTTCTTCCTAATTCCTAAGACTACAGGGACTGCCCTCTTCTTCCCTCTTCTGAAACTTCAGTAGTGTTGCCAAATGTGATATAAATTATTTAGCAGTTCAACAGCACAGGGAGTTACCCAAGACAAATAGCTGTGGATAGACAGGATCAGGACAGCATGACCAAAGAGAAGATAAACACAGATGGAGGAAACAGTCATGAGGTAGACAGCATTTGAGGAGGCAGATAAAAAGCACCCTCTTTCCCATGCCTTCATCCAAAATACATAATTCTTGAATTTCATTTTCTCTGCTTTGAAGAGAAAGCAAGCCACTGACAAAATCGCAGCACATACCTCACCTACAAATCTGTGAACATTCATTTAGTGCTACCTGAGGAATTACGAAGGTATGTTGTAGTTCTCATTTTCAAATCCTGCTGGACAACATATCTCCTTTCTTACAGAAAGGCATTTGTATCAATATTTGAATGTCTACATTAAAATAAACATAACTGTAAGTCAATGCTTAACTTCTTTTAACTTACAAAGTTTATGTTTTTTTATAGCCAGGCTACCTTGCTTTGGCCCTTCGGTAGTATTCATTAACGATACAAATTTGACTTTTGGAGTAAAGCCTTTACTAACATGCATGTGCACAAGCATGTGAATACCACTGGCAGAAGTCTCAACAAGCTGATCTGGTTCAAATTAAAATTACACAATGTTTCTTCCTCCTTCTCATGAAACAAAACATACCAGTAGAAAATAAAAACTTTACTGTGTAGGTTAAGAACTCAAAAAACTTTAAGATCTGTTGTAGTTTTCAGTCCTCAGAAAAATTCCAGGCATAATACTTTGAGGTACCAGACAGACAAATAATAAGACTGACTTCCAATTTTGCTGCCTAAACAGAGGAGACAATCCGCAGTATTTGAAGAATGGGCAAAGGCTGTTCTGCCTTGCAGACAAGCGGGGAGTTGGGCAGGATGCGAAGCGGTTCACTGAAAATCACAAACAAGCAGCTGAACTGAGTTGTAAACCCATTTTTCTATCCTTTTGCCTATCCTCAGCCATAAACCTTATCTCCCCTTGGAGGGCAGTTATTCCATTTCCAGAAAAGACAGCATAACACCAAGTTGCACTGAAACAGATGCATCATTCAACTGATGATATACCTCACCACAAATGACAACATTCTAAGTCCCATAAATACTGCTTATTTGCCAAGTTGTGGAAATGCAATCACTTATTACTTCCCTTTAAAGAAACCTACAGTAGCTAAGAAAAAGACAGAAAAGTAACTTTAAGAATCCCTTATCCAGTACAAAGATATAAAAAAAAAACCCCAAACAAAACACCTAGATCGAGACCCTGCAGCACATGCATACCTGAGAAAGGGAAAAAAGCACCAGCTGGCCTGTATATCCATTGGCATTGCACCTATCATTGAGCCCCACCTAACATACAGTGTTATGTTTTGCAAAAATGGGCCTAGATTGGGAGAAAGGGGAAGGGAAAAAACAGAGTTTAACAGGGAAGAAAGGACTGTGGGAAGAAAACTCAGTAGGAAAACCTTCTTGTTTTCTACACACAACTGTTAAATTCTGATTAAGATTGAAGATTATTGCTCCTAAGCTAAAATTTTATATAGTAGTCTCATGTCAGCATGACAGTCATTTGAACTCAAAGTCCCATGGTATAGCTGTAAAAAACCTTCAACACCTGGAAACACAAACATCAAGAATGATTACTCTAAAACAAGTTACTGCAGCTATACCTAAATGTCAAACAAACAATACATAGAGAAGGAAAATAGAAGCTATAATTTGTGTGCCACCTCCATTCCCTTCAAAAAGGCACTTTGCAAAGGGCACCCTCTGCATACATAATCACTATACAGAGAAACTTTAAACTGCCTCAACCCAGTCCCACATGGTCGGTCCCACAAACTACCCAGGGTCAGATCTCACCAGTGACAGCACGGGAAAACATGTTGCAAGTGAAGGCTGCCAATGAACAGTCCAGGCTGGTATTCCAAAGGCTTATTTCTTGCTGACAAGTGACAGCAAAGTAGCATTCCTTTCACCCATTTAGGATGTATCACTCACACAGTAACAATACTATGCACTATCATCACAGAATCATAGAATGTTTTGGGGTTGGAAGGGACCTTAAAGATCATCTAGTTCTGTTACATCGTGCTTATAGTTCCACCTGCTGCTGCCATGGGCAGGGACACCTCCCACTAGACCAGGTCCCCATCCAACCTGGCTTTGAACACTGCCAGGGTTGTGGCATCCACAACTTCTCAGGCTGATTTGTTCCAGTGTCTAATGTACCAAATAATATGGAAAACATTATTATTAAAAATGTCAGCACAGTCTCACTTGGAGCAGCTGCATGTTCAGTGTCCACAATACTCTTCAGGAGTTATGCCAATCATCAAAGAGCCTTCCATTGCACCCTATTGGAGGGCTGGTAATGTACGTAAACAAACACCACATGCTCTTATACTCCAGGAATGCAGCCTGACCTCTGCCTCACTGAACTCAGCTAAAGTCTTTCCTTCTACAAGATGTCCTTTAGAAACTCTTCCTCTGATCTGAATCTCTTCTACTTTCCTTACAGCAAAAGATCCACAATATTCCCTTGCATGCACCTGACAAGGAGGTCTCTGGTGAAGAGCAACCTCAAACCACACAGCAATCACATCCCACAAATACTCCTGTGTAAAAGCCAAGATCTCAGTGCTGAAAGCAGATTTCACAAAGCCCAGTGGGTCAGTCTACCTGTTCACTGACACCATGAGAGAAAGGTCACACTCCACTGGTTGCACACATATTCCTGCTACTTGCCTCTCACTGGCTACAGTTCTTCATGAACTGCTCCAGTGCAAGCTCCCCATGAGTTCAGAAGTCCTGCCAGCAAACCTACTCCAGCATAAGCTCCTGTCTCCACAGGCCTGCAGGTCCTGCCAGCAGCCTGCTCCAGTGCAGGCTTCCCATGGGTTCACAGCCACATTCAGGCATCAACCTCATCCAGCGTGCACTGGCTGCAGGTGGACATATGCTCTGCTATCAACATTTATGGGTAGCAGGGGGACAGCTGCCTCACCATGGTCTTCATCATGGGCTACAGGGGAATCTCTTCTCCACTGCATGAAACACATCCCATTTTTCACTGACCCTGCTCTCTGCAGGACTGTTTCTCTCACATATTCTCACTCTTCTCTCCAGCTCCAGGTTATTCCACTGTTCCACCCCCCCATCTCTTCCTCCTTAAAGCTGTTATCCCAGCAGTGCTACCACCATCACTGATGGGTTCAGACTTGGCCAGCAGTGGGTCTGTCTTGGAACCAACTGACATGGCCTCTGATGGAAGAAGGGGAAACTTTTGTCAGCTTCTTACAGAAGCCACCTCAATAGCATCCCAGCTCAAAAAATCCAGCCAGGCAAATCCAATACAACCTGATAAGTTGAAACAGAGGTTGCTACATGAAAAGCAGCAGGTAAAACACCTAAACTCCCACACTGTAGTCACACTGGTTTGCCTTTCCACCTTTGGAAAGAAGAAAGCATACAGATAGATAAACAAATTCAAGCACCTCTTTTTGGGCAAGCATAGGTAATAACTGTTCACTGAGTTTATATACACCCTGTCTACTGAAAAATAAAAACCAAAATCGATTTAAAACCAAGTTTCCATTTACTTAAGCATATAAATAAATTAGGATAACACTTAAATTTGTGCTTTTAGTCTCAGAAACCAGGAGACACATATGTTACACAAAACAACTTGTAGAAGTCCTCTAAATACATTATTGGTGCGCACTAGGATTAATGTTTACTCAGGCAAGTTAAATGGACATAAACCAGAGAAAACCAATTTCAGGAACTATTATTCAGTTACAACCACTTAACAGTTAACAAGTATGAGCTGAGTCACAGTAACTGAACTTGTTACTGTGTTGTCACTAAGAACAAAACCATAATTGTTACTATAGCACGATGAATTTAACATGTAACTCTTTACATGTTACTTTCAGAGCTTGGGAGTCAGCCGATGTATGCTGACCCACTTGTCAGAGTTCTGGCAAGTGTAAGCACCCTTCAAGCACAAAGCGACCTTAATTCTTGCACCCATTTGAACTAAAACAGTTTCATCTCAGGCCCATGTGACTGATGCCCAAAAGGAGATAATTTCCAGAATCAAGTCTCCGTTGCTTATAGGAGTGTCCAAATTGTTCATAAAAGCAATATGAACACTGGACTACTCTTCATCTCTAGATTATGCAAGAATTTCTCCATTGTGATTAAATCATCAACAAAAAAGGACTTTTCTTTGATTCTTACTACTTACCAGTTACAATAAGTATTTTTAACCACAATGACAGAAGGGATATCAAAAAATACTTTCTCTTTTTTTCTTATAGTGCTGTGTACAACCCACCTTGATCATCCCTTGACTCATGGGGATGTCTCAGAGAGCCAGAAGTGAGAGAGTGAGTTTTGTAAATGACCAGAGAAACACAGCTGGAAAGTAATAAATTCAAGCAGGACTCAGCGGCTCATGTAGTATCTATAGTTATATTCCACAGGTATTTGTATTCATTTAAACTGGTTAAATTTTCAGATTACAATGTGTCCTTAATTTAACAGGCAGTGTCCAATCACCATTCAAAAAGTAAAGAGTAATACTGTTTTTTAAAAGTAGAAGTTTATGTTTGGAGTTTTTGGAGAAAAATAAAGAACGTGACCACTAATCATTACTTCCACATTTTGTCACATCTCCCACAGCTCATTTCTGTAACAGCGCTGGTAGAAAACAAAGGACTACAGATCTGTAAAAACAAGGCATGCATTTCATAGCCATTTAATCTACCACACCTTCTGGCATATTTCTGAATAACCAGAGTTATTATATACTTTTGCTACTGTAATTGCCTAATCACCACGTGACTCCTGTTTCTATAGAAAGAAGGCTTGACAGCAACAGTGGTATGACTATGTCCAGAATCCAACAGAAGAGAAAGATTTCTTCCTTTGTGCACTCATATTTTGAAGACACTCTCTTCTTTACAGAGTAAAGACATGTGTAGGGCAAGAGAAATAATCCATTGTAATTCTAAGAGAAGAGGAGAACCAAACCTGTGTCAGGGCCTCACAATGAATTTAAAAGGAGTTTGCAGGGGAGAAGACAGAATCTGTACAGAACTGACCATCAGTTCAGTCAGGGGTATTACAAACTGAAGTTTAGAGTGTGATACGCTCTAGTTTAGCAGATGCTTCTTTGACTCAGAGAGTTTGCTAATGCAGCAACAATGGATACTTCTGGATGTGAGGATGATAAAAATTCAACATGTTTTAGACACTTCTTCTCAATCTTCTTATTTTAGGTGGAAAAATATCCTTCTCTGATATTTAAACTTTATTACTTACTGAAGGATCTACTTGATCATTTGTTACTCCCCTCAAGACAATCTTCAATGGATGCTTCATGAAAGGTGCCAAGCAGAGCAGACTTTCCAAGTAGTAGCCAATGCCACGACTGGGGCTGCAGTCATGCTCCAATGAGCCTCCGTACAGAAGACCAGGCTGATAATACAAGGTAGTACCTGGGGAAGAGGCCAGGGGAGCAAACCAAATGAGAGCACTGTAAAACACGGGCCATTGAAACAGCCTAAAAATACTTTGCAACAATGTATGAGGCAAACTGGAGGCAGAAGATGATATGGAAGGCTATAGCACTTCCAGCACACTATTTACATGTCTGCAGCTAATAAATGGGTCAACACATGAGTGTCTGTCTGTCCTACACATTGTTTTCCTCCTTTCCCCTCCCTCTAAAACCATAGATCTCTTTGCAATCTACAAAATGCTGATACAAGCAATTATTATTTTCCAAAGAAGCTCAACCTTCATGAGTCCATCAGGTCATTGGAATCTTGGCATATCTGATGGTAATTCATTTGCCTTACTTACCATCAAGAGGTCATCAGAACCCATAAAAAAAAACCAAAAAAAAACTCAGACCAGGTGAGATTTCACATGGGATGCTTTTCACTCTAATCAAACTGTTTTCTAAGCATGAATAAGCAAACAGTCTGGCTAACAAGTTTGCCTCTGTAGAGGGTAAATCTTCTTTTTCTTCTACAAAAATCGATTCTGGTACAGAGGAACTTTTGCCCACAATGAAATCCTGCATACCTAACAAAATACTAATTTTAGTTCTTGGGCAATAGAGCTTCCTTAGCTCTCTGCATTATGGTGAAGCATTGACCTTCTTGCATGTGATCAATTATTACAGAACTTGTCAACTTTGTTATTTCTGCCTTCTCAGTCAATCTTATCTGAACATCTACCTCTATCAAGACAAGACTTCAATTCTACTGAAGAAACTGATAAATCCTGGAGATCAGAACAGATGAAGCAGAAAAAAACAGATCTCACCTGTTTGGTTTATTTCAATCCGTGAGCCATTGGTCACTTTGTCAATCAGGCGAATAAAACTTGCTTCAAAATCTAAGGAGTAAAGCACAGACAGAATTGTTTCTTAGAAGTTCAACACCTTACTTGTACTTTTACCCTTTCCTGACTACCATGACAGTAAGGCTACTCTCACTCTTCAAGCTGTGGTGTAATGCCAGCACATGTGAAAAGGCAATTCCCTGTAAAAACAGAGATGTTAATGTGAGCCTCCACACTTATAGGCATCTCAAATCAGTTGAGATGCCCTCAGATGTGGCAGCTAGACTAGTCACACTCCTCTCCCTGGCACACAACACATAATACAAGTGGACATTTCTGACCACAATGGCTTGAAGGATTGCTCTTGTCCAGGATAAAACCTTTGACAATTTACATTTTGCTCAGTACAAAGCAAAACGGACAAATCAGAGCAAACAGGACCCCATTTACTGAAGCATGACAAGATAATAACGGCTTTACATTATTCTCTGTAAAAGTGTTAGTTTAAAAGAAGGGGACATTTAGACATGAAGTGCTGCTACTTTGTATCTGTTCCACAAACAGAATTAGTTGTTTGCAGACTCTAAAATTTTCAATTTCCAAAACAGTTTTGGACATATTTAGGGCTAGAGAACCACAAGTCTTCTCACGGCCTTTTTTCTTGCTTACTGTGTTCACTATACTATAGCAGTTTGTGTGGAAATAATTCCTCAGTTTCCCTTGATTGTGTGGCCTCTCACCCAGAGACAATGAAAAGGACATGCAAATTTAAAGCAAAATAAAACCACAAATACCAACCAAAACAAAAAAGGAAATAACACAAAGAAATAATAACAAAAACAAACAAACAAACAAAAATCCCCAGCCAACTGAAAAAAAGCCATCCCAGGAAGATTATGCTAGTATTCTAGTATTCCAACGTGGTACAGGCTCAGTATCAAGGAATATAGGTGAATATATGCAGAATTCAAAATCCAGTTAGTTTTAAGAGCCATCAGAATCTGCATAATTGTTTGTAGGCTGCAGAACTCCCTTAGCAATAATCCTGTGTTACTTCTTACACAGTAATCAGATTTTTCTGTATGTGACTCTAGGATGTCATAGATATTTAAACCACAGATCTAACTGCAGGATTTACAGTTCGTCAATATTTGCATAACATGATTGATGTCTCAGTCACACAATACTAGTTCTGCTCTCTTTCTAAACTATGACAGCTTATATGCTTACAAAGTTTATATGACGTTATAAGCACTGAGGCATCTTCCAGCACATCCTTGTGAGCACACATTTCACTCTTGGAGAACACTAGTAGCAGAGTTTACAAAAGTTCCAGTCATGAAAAGCAAAAATACCTGCATGTTGAATTATCAACACAGATCAGGATTTATTGTTATTATTTTTCTGTTATAGTCATAGTTTACACTTGAACCCATACTTTAAAAAGTAAATTCAAATACTCTTTAAAAAAACATGGCAATAGCTACAAACTTCACCATCACCAAATGCTCTACAGTGATAATAAATACTTTGGATGATGGTACATGTTAAGTCAAGCACATAAGAATGCTTTGGCAGTTTTTGAGTAGACTTTTTAGCAACACACCAAAGGCTGCATAAAAAAGTAGCTAAAAGGTTTAGCTACTCCTCCTCAGGAGGCAGAGAAGCCTGTTCTGAACATCATAACAGGGGTCTTTGCCCAAAAAATAACTGAACACCACAATAATGTTTCTTCCCGAAGCTCTGCCCTATTGTTTTCTTACTTCAGTTTATGATGGAATTCATCCTGGGATGCCAAAGACTTTGTACGAGAATGATGACAGTACTCCCTAAGAAAGATATCCCTCAAACAAATCTGCAGAAATGAGAATAAATTATTCCCCTCTTTCACCTTTTCTGTTTCAGCAAACCCTGACAAAAATCAAAGCATAAAACATGACCTATTAAAAGTGGAACGTGAGCTCCCACAAGCACTGGAAGCACACGACGCTTGGGCACGGACATGGGCACGCGGCAGAGACAGGGAATTAATCCCAAGAGACAGGGAATTAATTCTGCCATCCCGACTGCGAAGCCACTATCACGGGAACGCGAACCAGTTCCGGGGCTGCGGAGGGGCTCCCGCACACGCAGCGAGCCGGTCCGTGCCCGCCGGGCCGCTCCCGCCGCTCCCGGCAGCGCCGGCCCCGAACCGCCGGGGCGGCTCGGCAGAGCAGCGCCAGCCCCGGCCGCCCGCACCGGCCCCTGATGGCCCACTCTGAAGAAAAGGCGTGACCCGCAGAAGGCAGGGCTGCCGAGCCGAGCCGAGCCGAGCCGAGGCGGCGGGACGGGGATGGTACTGCCCGTTCCCCCCCGCCCCGCCGGGCAGCGAGGGAGGCTGACAGCAGGGAGCGGCGGGTGTGTCACAGCGCCCTGCCCAGGCCTCTTTCACCCCCCTGCCCGCTGCCCCGGGCTCCTCCTCCTCCCAAAGCCCCGCGACCCACGTGTGACAGCGGCACCCGAGCCGGGCGTGCGGAGCGCTCAGGGGAGAGCGCATCCACGGGAATGCAGCCGGGTCCACCCTCCTGGTGGGGCACGCGCAGACGGAGTGCGGGCTGTCCCAGCTCCAGTGGGGTCTGCCCCTGCCCAGCAGCAAGTCCCGGGCACAGCCGCCGCCGCAGCTCCGCCGCCCCCGACCTCCCGCCCCGCGGCCGCGGGTGCCGCCGCTCACCGCGGAGGCCGGGGTCCTCCTCCTTGGCGCGGATCTTGCGGATCTTCAGCGGGCGGCCGCTGAGCGTGGCCAGCACCAGGCGCTGCCGCAGGAAGTTGCATCCCGTGTAGCTGAGGCACTGCGCCTCGCCCGCCATCCCGGGCCCACGTGGCTGGAACAGGAAGCGCCGGGACAGCGGCGGGGCAAAGGGCAGGGGGCGGGCGGGCGCTCCGGGCGTCGCGCCGCCCCCGTGGCCGGGAGGCCCGGGCTGAGTTTGTCGCGGCACGGGTGGCAGGCTCTGCCTTTTCCTCTGCTCTCCCAGCCTGCATGTTTTCAGCTGAAACCTAAGGAGTGTGGAAGTGTCGGGAGATGTGTCTGACCGGAGCCCGGCCCGCTGCTCCTCCGCGGGATGTGGGCTCCCCTTCGGGTAAGGACGGTCCGGAGCGGAACGTCGTGCCCTCACAAGGATACTGCCACCACACCGAAATGAGTCGGTTCCTGGGAACATGTTCCCTAGGCAGTGCTTTTCAGTGATTTATCCCTGGCTACCTTAAGGAAAACGGGCGGAGGAATGAGTCCTGCTCGCGGTCCTTGGGACAGCCTGCGTGCATAATGACAGTCCTGCTGTTCTTAAGGAGGAGACCGACTAAAGCTTCCAGTCTCTTATTTTAAGAGAAACATCCGACTAAAGCTTCCAGTCTCTTATTTTAAGAGAAACATCGATTACACTGAAGGTGTGACAATGTAAATTGTCAGGCTAAATTTACATGCCCATGAAAAGAAGTTTCTAGTCTACTTGGAAGGAATGTACAAGAATAATTTAGCCCAATGCTTCACTTCAGGGCTGACCCAAAGGTAAAGCAGGCTCTTAAGGGCTCTGTCCAGATGCCCCTTACACAGTGATAGTCTCAGGGCATCATCAGGCTTGGCCACTCTCTCTTTATTATAAAGAAATGCTTCCTAATGGCAAGTCTGAACCTCCCTGCCCAGCTTTGAACCGTTCCCACACATCCTGTCACTGGATCCCAGGGAGAAGAGATCAGCACCTCCCTCTCCACTTCCCCTCCTCAGGAAGCTGTAGAGAGCAAGGAGGCTGCCCCTCAGCCTCCTTTACTCCAAACTAGACAAGCCCAAAGCCCTCAGCAGCTCCTCACAGACCATGGTGTGCAGTCCTTCCACCAGCTGCCTTGCCCTTCTCCAGACACCTTCCAGGACCTTCCCATGGTTCTGGAATGGTGGAGCCCAGAGCTGCACCCAGCACTCGTGGGGAGGCCCTGCCCTAACACTGGACACAGAGGGGTGGTCACCTCTTTAGAGTGCCAAGGTTGCTGCACTCAGAATGGGTTTGCTGCACTCAGGATGGGTCAGGATGGGTTTGCTGCAGCCAGGATGGGTTTGCTGCACTCAGGATGGGGTTTGAGGCACTCAGGATGGGGTTTGAGGCACTCAGGATGGGTTTGCTGCAGCCAGGATGGGTTTGCTGCACTCAGGATGGGATTTGAGGCACTCAGGATGGGTTTGAGGCACTCAGGAGGGGGTTTGCTGCAGCCAGGATGGTGTTTGCTGCAGCCAGGATGGTGTTTGCTGCAGCCAGGATGGTGTTTGCTGCAGCCAGGATGGGTTTGCTGCAGCCAGGATGGGTTTGAGGCACTCAGGATGGGTTTGAGGCACTCAGGATGGGGTTTGCTGCCCTCTTGGCTGCCAGGGCACACTGCTGGCTGCCACAGAGCCTGCTGCCAACCAGCACTCCCAGAGCCCTCTCTGCAACCCCAGAGCTGCCCCTCTCCCAGTTTAGACTTGTGTCTGGCATTTCTCTATCCCAGTTGCAGAATCTGGCATTTTGACTTGTCATTTTCATGTCATTGATGATTGCCCAGTGCTCTGCTCTATTTAGATCCCTCTTTCTGCAAGGGCTTTTGTCACTTAGGAGAGTCAACAGCCCCTTCCAGAGTTGTAGAGAAAAGGTCAGACAATTTTCCTTACAAATGATAAGCACTTTTTATTTTACTAAATTGTTTTCCAGAGACTAAAACTTTTTTTTTTTTTTAACCCATGATAGGCACACTTTACAGAAACTGAAGGAACTAAGCCACCTATTATTAGCTGCTTGCTGACTTTTGTGATCAACATGCATAAGGACTGTTCTGCAAGCTTTGTACCACAGAAAAGCAGAATGATTTGGTTTGGAAGGGATCTTTAAAGATCATCTAGTCAACCCTTATGCTATAGACAGGGACACCTTCCATGGACCAGGTCGCTAAAAGCCCCATCCAACCTGGTCTTCAACACTTACAGGTCCCTATTGGGCATCCACAACTTCTGTAGGCAATTTATGCCAGTGTCTTACCACCTTCACTGTAGAAAAATTCTTCCTTATGTCCAATGTAAGTCTACCCTCTTTCCATTTAAAACTCTTGCCCTTTATCCTGTAACTACTTATTGGTAAAAGTTCTTCCTCTCTCTCTCTGATAAACCCACTTAAATACTGAAAGACAGCAATGAGCTCTCACCAGGGCTCTCTCTTCTCCAGGCTGGCCAATCTCAGCTCTGTCAGCCTTTCCTCAAGAAGAAATTATTCCAGCCCACCAATCATTTTTGTGGCCCACATCTGGACTGACTGAATCAGGTCCATCTTGCAGAACCACAGAGTCAGAATCACAGAACTGATTAGGCTGGAAAACACCTTTGAAATCATCAAGTCCAATCTATGACCAAACATCACGTTGTTGCCTCAACCATGGCACTGAGTGCCACATCCAGTCTGTTCTTAAACACCTCCAGGGACAGTAACTCCACAACCTCCCTGGGCAGTATATTCCAATGCCCAATCAGCCTTTCTGTGAAGAGATTCCTCCTAATGTCCAACCTAAATGTTCCCTGGCACAGCTTAAGACTGTCCTCTTGTCTTTCCTGAGCTGAGAACTCCATAGCTGGATGCAGAAATCCAGTTGGGGTCTCACAAGCATGGAGTAGAAAAGGGCAATCATGCCCCTTGACACACTGGGCACACATCTGGACACACTGCTCTTTATGCTCAAGTCCAATTTTTCACATACTAGTATCCCAGATTTTTTTCTCCACTTAATCCATTTACAATGCAGACTGTACAGATGTTGTGGATTTCCCAGACCCAGGTGCTAAGGCAAAAAATCAAACCCAGAAAAATCATACATCTAAAATCAGAAGACCACATCTATGTGGAAATAAAGCCTAAGAAATTTTTTAAAAGGAAGCATGTTGAGAAATTTGTGGAAAATGAGGATCAAAAAAATGACAGCAGTTAAACAACATTAGTTCACATATGCGATGCCCAAGATTTCTGAGATATGGGCAAAAATATCTAGAGCTAGGTTCATATGCAGATGAACCTCTCTGTATTTTTAGAAAAAGAGAGTTTTGTCATAGACAGTTTTGTGGAATCAAAGAATTGTAGTTTTCTGTGTGTAAGAAATTAGTTGCCAGTTGCAGCTTTGATCTAGAATATAACAGAAAATACCGTGGAGCTTGGGCAGCTGAAATTATTTTCTGTTGTGCACTGAGCAGAACAAAGAGAAAACTGAGTGTAAGGAAGGTAAAGAACATATATATTTTCTCAGAGCTAATAAATCTATGTCCAAACTTCACAAAAATTCTTAAAACTTCCTTGATAAATCAGTTGTTTGTTTTCCTTCTTACAAGAAATTAAATTCAGTCAAGTCTCTGCATAATTCCTTTGGGTTTCAGAGTTTGGAGGGTATTTTGGAATTCCAGAACAAACAGTGCTAAACTTCATGATTAATGGAGAAGAAGTCTGGCACTTATTGTTTCTTATTTTCAGGGAACATCTTTGTCTTCTTTCATTTCCTTCATTCACAGGCCTTTTAGACATAATTTCAGAGTAGTACTTAAATAACAGTTTGCAGTGAGGTTGTGGATACGGCATGTGATAAAGGATAAACACTCCCTACTGAAATTGAGTGTCTTCTTCTGTGAAGACAGCTATGTAAAAGCCTTTCAGGTTCTGGGTCTATGTTTTTCACTGCATTGTCTGAACTCTGTGTCATAGATTTACATTGAAAATAGTCAATGGTGCCTACTTTTAATGAACTCTCTTCTGTGGTTCATTTCTCTTCCTTTGTGTATTCCCCTGTGCTCCCACACATGTATTTTTAGTTCTGTCCATCCTGTCCTTGTTCTGTGACTTCCAATTACTTGCTATCATCTGTTAACAATTTGCAAGTATCTGCTTTATGTCAAGGCATGGGAAAACAAAACTGGGAAAACAAAACAAGAAAACAGTCTTCCCTAAAAATGATTCCATTGGCAGTCAGAATTTTCTCATGTAACTGAAATAAGATACTTCTTATTTACTTCTACAGTAAAAAAGTCACTGGTATATGTACTGTGCTGGTATAATGTAAGTATCACTGTAATGAAAGCTCCATCCGTCATAAAAATACCAAGTGACATAAAAGGGGGGTTTTGTCTCCCTGGGAATGCTCGTAGCTTGTTGTGCTAGAAGTCCGAGGATTTCTAGGTCAGGAAAATAATTTTTATCAGCTGCCTAGAGGTGGCATAGAGAGGCTGAGTGGCAGCTCAGAGGTATATACATGTCATGATCTGGGCAGCTGTTACAATTTAACCTCAAAATGTAAAGCTATTACTGGCTTACCTTAGTACTCAGGAAAATGTTAGCTTTCATTTAACCAGTGGTTGGAGAACACAAAAATCTCCTGATAGTTTAATCACTTGAGATAAATAATGCAGAAAAGGTTATTACAGAAACTTCCAAAAGAGATCTGTCTTCTACTAATGTATGGGGGCTCTAAGAATGCAAAAAGATAACACTTTTCTCTGAATTTCTGTTAGTTTACATATCTCCTAAGACTTTTCACACAGTCTTGGAAACCCAGGTATGTAACTTCTCTTTTACTTGAACTTAATTTATTTTTCTATTTATTTTATTAATTTTATTCTGAGGGATATCTAAACAATCTGTGATGAGTTCTTTTGATAGGACTAAGATTACAAACTCCAAATACAGCTCAAAAGAACCACTGAGACAACAGAAATGTTTTCCAAATAATTTAAATTCTGAATTAGATTATTATCAGCTTGTGACTCCAATGAAGTTTTGCCATTGCTTGTAACAGGACATAAGCCTTGTACTGAGTTTCCAAGGCATCAGTACAGAAGCTAGTCAGATTTGCAC